CGAGCAGACATAGACTAATGATAAGAGGGTGCCATGAGCGGATGATTCAGACTAAATCAATTATGTGCAACCAATTTCAAAGCAAGATGTTCTAACTCACTCACGTTAGACTGGTGGTTCTCACAGAAGGCTCTCTAAGGTGGCCTTGCAATAAAGAAATCTTTGTTTTATACTGGTCCTCCACTTACGATGTCATACGCAAAAGAACATCTGCTTATAAAATAAATGACAACTGTCAAGATGCTTCTCTGAGAAATCACTAAATGTTTTTAAGGGAAGGCGAATATGTGGTAACATCTATCTCTTGAGCAATCATATACTACAGTGGGTCTTTGGCTGAGCAATCAAGACACCACTTGGGATACCTGTATCCCACACTAGGGTGCCTGGGTTACAGTCCCAGCAACTCCACTTCTGATTCCGACTTCTTGAAAACGCACACTCTGGGAGGCAGCAGTGATGGACCAAGTACTTGGGTCCATGGACCCGTTTCAGAGACCTGGAACCAATTTCTGGCTCTTGGCTTTGGTCTGGCCTAGCCCTGCATGTCGGGGCATTTGGGGACTACCCCAGCAGATGGAATCTCTCTTGGTCTCTCTCAGCCTCTCAAATAAACGAAAATTAGTAGTTTTAGATCCCATGCTGTAAGAAGGGAGGTCTTCAGGAGTGTCTGCACTTCTAAGAGGGCCATCATACATGCCCGAGACTCATAAATGCCATAAACCCAAACCCCAGTGATAAGAAGAGACACTTCAAGGCATTTCCTGTCCTTTGCAGCCTGTAAGTAAAGCAATACAAAGAGCCAGGTGGAAGCCTCCACCTGCGTCACCAGCATCCCATGCGGGCACTGGTTCCTGTCCTGGCTGCTCCTCTTCTGATCCAGCTCTCTGCTATGGCCTGGGGGGGCGGGGTGGGGACAGGCAGTGAAGAACAGCCCAAGTGCTTGGGCCCCTGCACCTGCATGAGGGACCCATAGGAAGCTCTGGGCTCCTGGTTTCAGATCAGTTCAGCTCCAGCCATTGTGGCCATTTAGGGAGTGGACCAATGGATGGAAGATCTTTCTCTCTGTCTCTCCTTCTCTGTGTGGCTCTACCTCTCAAACAAATAAATCATTTAAAAAAAAGAGCCAGATGTCTAAGCACAATTGAGTCAATGCTGGTGCAGTGAATCAAAACACTGACATACAAATCTGTGGGAACCCAGCTCGCTGACCTGCCTCCTGTCTTCCTTCTTTCCTGTTAGAAGCTATCAGGGTTGAGGCCTGAACAAGAAAGGCACACACAGTGAGCAAAGCCAACACCCTGCAGGGTACAGGAGAATGGGGCCAAGGCAGAAAAAGGGCAAAGAAAACAAATGAGGGGTGACATCAGCCCGATTTTTCTCCCCACTGAAGAAGGGAGCTACAAACACGGAAAGAGAAACAAGAGCAGTGGACACTACGGAGCTCAGTTGGAAGTGCAGTAACTGTGGCTTGTGGTTTAGATAAGAAACACAGATGTCAGTGCAGAACTCACATACATACACCCACCTACCTTCCTCCCTGCTTACCTGGATGTATTTCTTAGCTCTGTCCATGGAGCTCAGATTTAAGGGTTTTCTGAGGTCCCAACTGTGGCCCAACAGCAACGAACACACCTATGTGTAGATCTTAGCTTTTTTTTTTTTTTTATTAGCTTAAGTATTTTATTTGTTTGCAACTAAGCTTGTTAACACTATATAATGAAAATGTACAAAGAATAAGGTTGCAGTTTTTGGTTAGATTTAAGTCAAAGACATTCATTAATAAAGCTTCTAATATCATTTTCACAAGAGGAACCAGGTTTCCTTGGAGAAATAGCTGGCTCCAGGGCTCGGGCACCATCTTGTGACAGCTTAGATCTAAGGAGGGGTTCAAAGAGTGATGGAGACCTGTCAGAGGCCCAGGAGCTCACATAAAGTCATGCCTTTTGGTTAACTATGGGAGAATCTGAGCATCAAAAGAGGAACCCCTAAGTCTGTACTCACTGGAAAACACAAATGCATAAAACCTGAGCAAAAAGAAAGCCTGAGTTCACAGCAGAGTATCAACTGATGCAGAAGTGGTTACCAGTGGCAGTGGGTGAATGGCTGATGGATCTCCACACCAAAGTCTGACTAAATACACAGAGGAAAACAACACGGAAGAGAACACTGGCACACACCACCTCTGGAAGCAGAGGGAATACCCTCAGAGGGAGCCCGCCGAAACCATGACCACCTGAGAGGATGCCACAAGACACAGTGTCCTCTGTGTGATGTTCTTGATGAACACACGTGACCCAGATTCAATCTTGACAAAGTTGGGGAACTGCCAATCTTTGGAGTTTGACTTCTTCCAAAGCAGCCCTTCTATTTTCTTTAAAAAGGCATCAAAGCAAGACTGAGGAAGGGTCGAGATGGAAGGCGTGTGTAAGAACATTACGACTGTGGGTCACGGGACCCTACTGCCAAAGGGGTATGGGGGCGCCACTGGGATATCTGGCAAAGCTTGTGTGGGACCTGTGGGTTGGGTGCTAGCGACCTGGCCCTGGTGATTTCCTGACTGTGATGGCTATGCCGTGATTAGCCTTTAAACAGCAATGGCCAAGGAGCCTCGGAATTAAAGGATCCAGCAACGGGAGGGCAGTGTGTGCAGCTGATTCTCAGACGGCTCCACAGAAAACGCTTCTACTTTTACTCTTTCCCATATTTCTCTTGGATTGAACTTAATTCAAAATACATGTTGCAAACAAGATGCACAAATCCTACCACTCTTATAAAACAAATTACATGCAACTTGAAAGCTACAGTTAGATGTAATTGTATTTCTAAGTCAATGTCAATGAGACATAATTTCAAACAATGAACCCAGTGAAGTTTCCTCATTTGACAGATTTTAGGAAACAGCCCTGAAGCAACCACCCCAATCGAACACCAAAGAACCCTGGTCCAAAGCCTCGTGCTCCTATGTAGGCACAGCCTCTTCTTCCTTGCCCTCTGATCTGTTTTCAGGTTCCATGGTTTTCTCGCCATTTATATAAACAGCACTGGACAGTCTGTGTGGCTGTAGACAGCTTTTATGTGAGACCTGTTGCATAGCATCGCCCGTGTTGCTCATGTATTGTGTATTTATTAGTTGCATGCTGCTGCATCAGTGTGTCACGGTTTGCTTATCCATTCAGCAGCCGGTGGACATCTAGGAGTCCTTAGTTTTGATTGCTGGGGAGGGAGGATTATAGGTTTTGTTGGTTTGCTGTTAAGCAGAAAACGTGTATGAATGCTTACATGTAATTGCTTTTGACTGAATACGCGTTTTTATTGCAAATGGATGAAGACCAAATGTGGGACTGTGGGGTTGTATGGTAGATTCACCTGCACTTTCATAAGAAATACTCCCCTTCTCCAGTGGCTACACAATTATGTACTCCCAGAAGGAATGAGTAACAATTCCTGTTGCTCTGTATTTTCACCAACACTTATTTTCAATATAGCTGAAATTCCAGCCTTGTGGTATATTATTTACATACATTAAAATGCACCTTTTTTGGAAGCCATTTAGGTTTGGCAACTGCATATTCATGGGAGCACCATCAAAACCTGTAATATCAGTGATCTCCATCACCACAATGAACTCCTCTCTGTGCCCACATAGCCAAGGCCTCTCCCCACCAGCTCCTGGTGACCACTGATTCCTTATGTTCCTACAGACTTCCTTCTCTCAAAGCCACACAGAGTCAGAATAACACACACTTGGCCTTTATCAAGCAGCTTCGCTTGTGCAGAATCATCGATTTAGATTCACCCACGTGGTTGTATGCATCTGTATTTCATCCCTTACTACCGCAGGGTAGGATGCCCTGGAGAAATCCGCCAGTTCATTAGCTCCTTTACCAGCAGGTGGACATTCGCATTGTTCCCAATCTTCGGCCATTAAAAGGTGCTCCTAAGCATGCGAGATTTCCATGTGAACCTAAGTTTTTACTTCTCCCGTGTATGAGGGGCCCGGTGTCACGGGCTAAGTGACTGCGCACCAGAACCTATGTACAGCTCCTACAGCTCCCCACACATTCTCCCAGCTTCATGCTTACCTCTCAAACACAGAGACCACACTTTCTAGCTGTGTTTCAATACCCTTGCTTGCTCACGTTTCCATGCTATGCCTGGGTCATTTCCTGCTGAGTGATGTTCCTCGTGTCCACAGGCCACCTGCTCCTCTGACTGGAGGTTGCACACTGGATATTCCATGTTACAGCCTGGACACAGCTTTGCACCTCTGAAGCTGTTTTCCAGGGCTCAGTTCCTTTCACACAGTTTAATTAGTGTTGAGTCTTGCCTGGAAGCCCTGTCAGGGCAGATTCAATATAGCCTTCCATTAAGGGCTAATGCATCCCAACTACTAAAGTCACCAACTTCTGAGGACTACCCAACCCCCACACACCAAGAGGCCTTTCCTACTGGTTATGGGAACAGATACCGCCCTGGCTCAGGAGCAGCTCTGGGCGCACTTCACTGTCTACCCGCAAAGGGGTCTGGGCCTGGCCTTTCATGCCAGCCAAGAGACCTTCACCAAGCACCAAGAATGCTCTGTGCTATTCTGTCTTCCCTGGTGTTCTAACCCTGCACATTCCTTACGTTTTCATTTATTTGTTTTTGAGAGGCAGAGAAACAGAGAAACAAACAGGCTGATCTCCCAAGCATTGGAACCACTGGGGCCAGGCTGAAATTGGCAGACTGGAGCTCAATCCAGGTTTCTCACATGGGTGGCAGGGGTCCAAGTTCGTGACTATCATCTGCCCTCTCTCAGGGCACAAAGTAACAAGAAACTGGAATCAGAAGCAGAGCCTGGACTCAACCCCAGGCACTCTGATGTGGATACGGCATCCCAGGCTGGGGCTTAACTGGCCCACCAAACCATCCTCGCCCATTCCTGCCTCCTCGCCTGTCCTCTCCATCCCACCCCCTGTGCTGTTGCTTGGAAACTGCCTGCAGCCAACAGGACTCACCTCACTTTTCCCCTTCTCCTGGGTAACACATTCTGTGTCCACTGTTGTCCAACGATGTTTACTACTTGTATTCTGAAATAATTTCAACCTAAGAGAAAAAGGCAAAGCAGAGAAGTGCAAGTTTTCCTTGGAGCCCTCTGAGGATAACGAACAGCAGGAGCCAGCTGCTGTCAGAGCCATGGGCAGTCAGAAGCTGGGAGCAGATGCCCACCACTGGCCACACACGGGGGAAGGAACCCAAGAGGTCTACAGGAACAGGAAGCATCTGCGGGGTTCCCTAACCTCTCCCTCTCCTCAAGCTCCTACGGGCCCCCCCCCCACACCCCTACCCAGCCATCCCCAGTTTAGATCATAGAGCAAGCTGCAGAAATCCAAGGCAGGAAGCCCGAAATCTGCACCAGTGCCCAGGGCTGCAGATGGGGGATGGCACGTCAGCTGACTTCCTGTTGCCGCTCTGTGTCCGGCAGGGACCGTGACTGCAGTGACTGGAACTCTGCATAGTCTGAAGCAGCACACTGCGTTCCAACTTCTCATCACAAAGGGTTCTCTTGGCTAACTTCAAGACCTCAAGGGTGGCATTTGGTGGCCATGCTACTGGGATTACAGCAGAGAACTTGGACTCTGAACTCTAAATGCTTCTCTAAGAAGCGAGAGGTAGATAAAAGCAAAACAAGAGGCAAATCCAACACCCAGATTCACCATCACCAAAGTCAGGCTGCACCGAGCACGTCTCTCACAGAGCGCTCCAGCCAGGCTGGAACACCCAGCACAGCCTTGAGAAAAACAAAACCACAAGATGCTACATCACCCCCCAGATCCAAGTGCCAGAGAGCTGTGATTCCTGCAGGACACACCTGGGGAGAGACGCCCCCACCCCATGGGGCCCCATGCCCACCTACCCACCCCACCTCACAGGCAAAGACAGTGAACAGCATGGGGACACCTGCAGTCTTCACTCAGTAAACCCAAGTCCAGGTGGCTCATGAACTTGAGCTTCACTGGGACCCATATGACCCACAAACGCTCTTGACTTTGTGGACAGAGGTGGAAGTGCCTTCTCCGCTACTGTGATCCCACTGTGAAATCCCCACCTGGACCCAAGGTCAATCACGACCCAGCAGGCAACCTCTCGGATCTCTGGACTTGCTCTAGTGTGCACCTCACAACTCAGCCTGTGTCAGCATTTGAAATAACGCACTCACCGTGATTCATCCACCCCACCTGGACTGCAGACTCTCTTATGGTGGAGACAGTCTGCTCATTTGTATCCCACACATATATTCTCTGTAACTGCCTACTTCACTTGGGAGATGTATGATAAAGACCCAAAGATACAATAAAGATTGCTAATCACATGCTCAATTGTATCAAAGAATTAATATTTCTTTAAATTTGGAACTAAATTGACATGACTATAAAAGGGATGGAATGCAAACAATATCTTTATTTAAAAATCACTAAACAGAAATAGCAAATTTTTAAAACTCATTTCATTCTTTATTGAGAGTCAGAGAATGAGATGGACAGACAAGGCTCCTTCTGTCGGTTCCCTCCCTAACAGCCCACAACGGCCAAGAATGGGAGGCAGACAGATTCGGGAGCGAGGATCTCAACTCATGTCCCCACGTGGGTGGCAGGACAAGCACTTGGGCCATCACTGCTCCTCCCGGGTCTGCCCTGGCAGGAAGCTGCAGTCAGGAATCCAACAGAGGTCGCCATCTTGATCTCCAGACCTAACACCCTCTCCACAAATGTATATATATTTTTAATCTTAAGAGCAACATGGCAATTCTGAAAATGTATGTTAAACTACTGAAGTGTTTACTCAAGAGAAAGGAACACACATGTCCACAGACAGAGGTGCCCTCAAATGTCTACAGAAGCAGGAGGAGGGAACGCCCTAAGTTCATGGAAAAATAAACGGTAACTTCAAAAAAACTGAAATCCATGCATTTTTTGTAACATGCATTTTCCATGAACTTTTTGAAGATCTCCCATATCCATAAGATACTCGATCTGTAAACATGCACATGTCCATCAGTGGGTGCCCTGATGGAGAGACTGCACGGTAGCCAGCACCACAGAGAAACTATTAACCACAAGGACACACAACACACATGCGTCTCCAAAACGCAGGATGCTAAGAGGAGGAAACCAGACACAGAACAGTCAACAGGCATGGTTCCCTCTGTGTGAAGTTCTAGACCAGGCAAAACGAGTCTGCAGTGACAGAGATCAGTGAGCACCTTGGCCAACGTCAGGAGGGCTGACCGCACAGGGGCCCACAGCAGCCTTGAGGCGGAGCGGTGGCACACGCAAGCCTCCCTTCTGACTGTGGTTGTGGCGACATGACTGTGACATGACTGTGTGTATTTGTCAAAAGGCATCATGTTGCAAAATGCATCGTGCATTTGGCTACAAGCACATTACGCCCAAGTAAGGCTGATTTTCTGAAATGCTAACTTAGGCAGAGAGAAGAGTCTGTTGTCCCAGCTGCTTGCAGACCTACCAAGTCTAGGGACTGCATGCTGTCACGAGTGCAACGTACCCGGGCAAAGAAAGCCCGCACCCCCGTCAGCAGGGCTGGCTGCTTCCGCAAGGACGCCGAGCTTCACAAAGCTCCGAGTTAAGTGACAGAAGTGCAGTGAGGGCTCCTGACGCGGAAGCGAAGGACGCCATCTCTATTTTCTGAGAACCTTAGGGCCCGAGGAGCCCCTGGGGAAATGGCGGCTTCACCTCGTGTGGACCTCATTGTGGTTGCAGTTTCATTTGGAAGAGGAAAGAGAGACCCCCTGTGGCAACCTGCATGTGTGCCAGGAACACATCAGAGTCCAGAGAAACTGGGGACAAGCCACTCACCCAGAGAAGAAAAATGCAGTTTCACGCACAGGGGTGCCGGGGCCCACAGAGAGCTTAGTTCACTTTGGCAAAGATGAAACGAGAAGCCACTTCAGGATATAACCCTGAGAGACACTTATCACATGGCATTTCGAAGAGAAGCTCTTTAGGGACAGGCATTGCGGAACAGCAGGTTAGGACACTGCCTGTGATGCCAGCATCCGATATGAGCGCCAGTTCAAGTCCTGGCTACTCCACTTCTGATCCGGCTCCCTGTTAATGTGCCTGGGAAGACAGTGTTCAGATGCCTCAAGAGCTTGGGCCCCTGCCACCCATGTGGGAGACCAGAAGGAATTCCAGGCTCCTGGTTTCCACTTGGCTCAGCCCCAGCTCCTGCAACCATTTGAGCAGAGAACCAGCAGATGGAAGATCTATCTTTTCCTCTCTGTCATTCCGACTTTTAAATAAATAAATAATCTTTGTAAAAACAACAACAACAACAAAAAAAAAACAAACCTGTTTGGCTCCCAAACAAAACAGGAAATGGAGAAGAAAGGCAGTGTCTACTGGCTACTGCTTAGAGCGGCCCGTGCTGCCAGAACAAATGCCGGAGACCGGGGCCTAAGCAGCACTCACTGCCCCTAGCCTGGAGCTGGAAGGCTGGGATCAGAGGCCAGCGAGCCGGGTGCTGGGAGGCCCCTCTCCCAGGCTTGCCGATGGCAGTCTTCCTGCTGTCGTCCACAGAAGGCAGCAGTCTGCTATCTCTCTTCTGCCCCCAGGACCTCCCGTAAGTTGAATTAGCTCCCAAAGGCTCCCCCTAACACCATCATGTCAGTGCTAAGGCGTCAGCTTATGAATTCCGGGTATGCGGAGACTCCAAAAAAATTAAGCCCGTCACCATCGTTGTGTTTTGCAACAGGCGGCAGCAATGGGGAAGGAAAGCATTCATTAAGTACAACTGGCAGGACGCAGGGAACTGACTGTGCTAGGGAGCAGAGAATAAGCTAAGCGTTAAACAGATGCCTAAGTTTCCAAACGCAGGCGTGATGAAAAGAGAATGAACAAACTCAGATGAATACGCAACCTAATTATTCCAAGGAAACAGAATTAACCTGACCTAACATGTAAGAAACACCTTACAGAAAGACCCAGACTCATGCTGCTCATCATGTCACCCCAGAAACAAATGTTGACGTCAGCAGTAGTAAGTGTTCTCGGTCTCGGACTACCGATGACAGCACTGGGCTTTTTTACCTTCATTATTTTACTTCCAATTTCACAAGTATCTGTGGCACGGACATGATCATCCTCATCTTACACGAGTTAACAGAGGCACAGAACAATTAATTATGGACGGCTGACAATACTAACATTCACCAAGGTCCAGTTCTCTCATCAGGGCACAAAGAGGATGACGATCCCAAGGGCTTGCAGGGGGACAAGGTGACATGCTCCGGCCGATGGAACGTGAGTGGAAGTGAAGTGCTGCTCCGAGAGCCTGTGTGCTATTCCCTACTCCCTCGTCCTCCGCCCAGCTAAACAAGGAGGCCAGGTACGGAGGGAGAGAAGGTCCCTCTGGGGGGCACTCACATGGGACCCCTCAGTGATGTCAATGACAATCTGGGTCCCCACCCGCTGACGCTCGCTGGACATGGAACGTGAACACCACACAGAATACTGCTGGGGGAGGGCACTGAGACCCGGGTGCTCCTCAGCGCAGCAAAAGCCAGCTTCCTCCGACTCACACTCACGCACAGAAGGGGAGATGGCCAAGTGGGTCCTGGAGAGCAGGTCCTTCAGCCGTGACAGTTGTTTACCAAAGAGGGGACTGTCCAGAAACCCGGGAGTCTGTCATCAGGTTGCAGACCTGCCAGCGGGGATGAGCACGAGGGGAAGGTGAAGCACCGCAGAGCTGTGCTGTATGGCCGGCTCCCCTCGCAGGACGGCCTCTTTCCCCGCACTCCTGCCCACCCTGCGCCCGCCTCTGGGTGTAAAATCACCCGAGACAAGTGAGTGTGTGGAGAGCGCGATCACCCCCATCACTCACCCGGGGCTGGGTCGGCGCGGGAAGCCTGGTCAGCAGAGGACCACCGGGCCAGACGCACGGCTGGCACTCCACAAAGCTGAGCTGTGTCACAGAAAGGTTCGACCGTGGCTACGAGATGCCATACTTGGAAAAACACATCTTATCACTTGGAACTAAAACCTAAGTGTTGGTGTGGACGTTTTTCTTTAATCTTTATTTGTTAC